AACTACAAACTTTGCCCTTCACCGTACACTTGTGCGAAAGATATTGTGCCCCAACCATGACTGATCTCTCTCTGGCCCTGTCTGCAGGACTCTCCATATGACTAACATCACTTATCACCTTGGAGCTAAAGTTCTTCCTCTTGATTATCTTTTGTTTCCTCTTCCTCCACATCAACGACGATGCCCTGATCAATGAATGAAACATCTCTGCTCATGGACAGTGGAGGCTATGTGTCCGTGGTCGGGGAATCTGAAACACCTCCTAGCAGGCATTGTACTAGACAAATTACCTTTTTTCGGCTTCTTTGCACTCAAATTTGTCTTATTCCTTCCTTGTCCTATCTTGCCAACTCAGAGGTACCCTTATCAGTCGTTGTAGCTATAGGTGACAGTCTGACTGAGGACTATCTGAATCAGGATTGTTGTTGTATTTTTATTGTTGGTTTTCCACCTTGAAGGCTAACGTTTGGACATCCCCCAGTGGCCTACATGACTTGTAACTGCACAGATTGTTAATAGCAAGCATCAAGCCCCCAAGTAATGGGCTATGGTGTGTTCCTTTGGCTCGACCAACTCACACTTCATCTGCAACTGGTCAAACTTTGTTGTGAACTCCTCCACTAATAGGTCTCTCTACTGCATTTGTTGGTCTCAAAAACATATCATGTCAATAATGATATGTAGATATTTCCTCTGTATCTCTTTCCTCATCTTTTCTCACTTAGTAATCTTATCATTGTTTTTTCACTTCCTCTACAATTTTTTCACCGCAAATAGGCGCTCTTCTACAACTTAATAGTCATTAGTTATACCCATTAATCCTCTGCACTTCTTTAAACTTGAAGATTAGATCAACATATTCAATTTATTCGTTTAGATCCATACCTCCAACAAACTCTGGAAGGTAACCATGATGTCGAAGTCCCTGTGTCTCCAATAGGTGGACTCGTTTCTCGGCCTCCTCTAATATTGAATCCCGAAGCGTCAGGGCATGTATTCCTCATCACTGGCGTCTTCCCAGTGGAACAATTCAGATCATCGTCTGTCTCCCCTTCAACTCTCCAAATCACAATCGAGGGGAATCACCCATGGTTCCATCGTCCATCTCCACAAGCCTCTGTTAAAGCCGACAGATCTCACCATCTCTCGTCTCGAGTAGATTTCGGCATGCATCTCCTTGGTGACATGATTAGATTTTGGGATTGAAAGGGGTGATTGAGGCTAGAAAACAAAAACTTTGGTGGAGGTGGTAAGGTGAATGCTAAGAAACCCTATGATAGTACTAGGGTTAGGCTAACTCTGATACCAAATGATACCAAAGTTAAGCCCAAACCACAACAACGGAAACAAATATTATTAAGTAAATGCAACTAGAGTTACAATCAAGACTCAAATGGAAACGAAAACACAACAAAACACCAATAGCCAGCTAGGACCGAGTAGGGATATTCCTGGACTATGGTGACGAGGCTTGGTGGCTAGCGGCTGACCAGGGAATAAATAGTGGTAGATGATTGGCGACAAGGAAAGGCTAGGTGGCTGACAAATGGAAACAAGGAAGAAGGGTGGTGATCGCAAGGTAGGAACTAGAGAAAGGAGGTGAGGGTTAGCGGATGGAATCGGGGGAGGGAATGGGTGATGGTGGCTAGAATCAAGGAGAATGTAAGGTGGCCAGCAAATGGAAACCAGGGATGAGGGAGATGTGGATGGAGTTGTGGAAATAATCACCACCTCGGAACAAGATGCACATAGAGCACCAGTCGTCCTCAGATACAGCCCTAACAAGGAAAAACACCTGGAGTCAAAAATCTGAAATCAGAAAACAAGACTAACCCCTAACTCAGCAAGTAATACACTTATAATAGGTGAATAGGAGGAAAGGGAGAATGTGGCGTCAGTTCCCACATAATAACTAGCCGGCCGGACCCACAGGCAGCCGCACCCCCCGGCCCACCCAACCGGTTCAGCCATAAGCCCCGCGCCAGCTAGTAGAAAATTATCTCTGCATCTAAATAATTTACAACTTGGATATAATTTTGATGCACAAGAAGAAGGATGAGGTTATAATATTCAACAGTTGAACACCATGCAATCATTTCCTTATACATTGTTCATAGGTGGTAACGGTATATAACATCATGCGGTAATGGCAATCACATAGATTTTACAATTTTTATGAATACATGAAATGAATCCGTGCAGGAAATCGTAATTTTCAATAAATATTGATGAAAAAATTATATTTGCATCAAAATAATCGCCAAGTTGGAGTTTAAATTTCAAATGTAGTGTCTTCAGAAAGTCATCTATGTGAGGCAACCCCTATAAATCATCTCCAATGGTTGGTTGAGGTTTTGAAATATCTCAGTCTGTTCGTGTGATAAACCAGTCATCCAATACCACCATCACTGCCTTGTTATCTTCTTTTTATCTTGACATCTTGTATGCACTGCAATGTCCATTTGCCCTATTGAGCCTTCCACTTGGCACAAATCTTATCCTGCATTGCAGCTCCAACTACCCATAGATTTAATGATCGCACTTATTGTTCAATTCTTAAACGACAACTATATGGCACGATCCTTGCTTCCATGTGCTCTTGCAATGACACCCTACATCATTTTTCCAAGCATCAACGTAGAAGACATAAAACCAGCAGATTCAAGTCATGTTACCTTCCAGCAACGAGAAGTGAAATTTTGATCCCTGCAACAGAAATTTGTCATGAAGACTGGACGATAACAACATTTAATGAAGCCTGGAACATTTTTACGACAAGTTCTCTGTTCTCCATTCCTAGTTTCTATCAAATAATCCTTCGAACTTTTTGTGGCTTGTTTTTTAACCATTTATTCCAGTTTGGTTGGATCTTCCGTCAAAATCATTTCAGTGACAAGAATCTGAGAAAATTAAGGTTGAGATAAGAAATTTCATCATCGTCTAGAATAAAAAACTCATCTTACATTAAGTTTTGAATAGTCCAATCAATTGGTTCGTCTTAATACTATAAACTTGGACAGACATCCACTACGTTTGTTACCTTTTGATAACTGTAGAGGACTCGAATAATTTTAGCCATGTAAACAGCAACAATTCCAAGTTCTGAAGAAGTGGAGTGATCAATTTCACGATGAAACTGAGTATAACTGCACAGGCCTACAGTTTTAAGTCTCAAGTGAATATTCCATTAAAAATAAAAACCTCAATGAATACATTTAACTTTAACAGCTAGCTTATTTTGTAACTGTGATTATGATCACCACATATTTGTATTCTGTTTGTGATTGCCCTAGGATTGCATGCATGAGATTCCTTCTTAAGTCAGTATCTCAGTTTATTCTTGTGATAGCACAATTTGTTTCGGTCCCCATATTCTTACTGGCATACAATCAGTGTCATTCACTTCTCTCTAGGGAGTGTTTACCATAACTTTTAGGGACAAGCCTTCACTGAGCTTAGCTGGGCCAAAAGATTTGAATGGAACAATATATAAAGAAAGAAACGTTTAAGCTACCATAACCAAACTGGTTGTTTTAAACAAATGCAGCCTCTGCACTGTTTGAGTGGCCATGAAAATCAACCACAGCAAGATTTGAAATTTAGCTTGCCCCAAGGCAGTAGAGTAAAAGATGAAAACAACTCATTCATTAAAAAAGTGTGAACAAAAATCAATTCATTTATCCATATTCTCACTCTCATTCATATGGTCAAACGTTTTACTAGACAGATCCAACATGCATTAGGAAGTAACATTAATATAGTTATGCACTGACAAGTACAATGCATGGAACTATTTCTGAAAGAAACCCTTTAGCTTTTCCATACTGCTATTCCATTATTCCATATTGCTGATTGAAGAGAGTAAAGACTCGGACACTAGGTGAATTTGCTGATTACACCCAAGGTAAATTCATGTATATATCCCATATAATACGCAACAAATGAATTGAAAAGCAGTTCTCATATCTTACCAAATAAACAGAAATTTATGAATAGCTTACAATTCAAATTCATAATTTATAAAATTTTACAGATTATTATGCTTCCTTATTTTATAGGAACTACTACTTTTCCAGTTCCACATTCCAAAAGGTAAGAATTTTGAACTAATATATACAGTATTTTACAGTGGCTAATCCCCTCAACTTTACTACTTCAATTTTAAAACAAAGATAAGTTAAATTAGATGCCATCTTTCACTCCTATTTGAACATTACACAAAACAAGCTACTCATTTTAGAAGATAATTTATTTAAATCTGACTGCAGTAATTTAAAGTTTATCTAAATAATGCCTTATTGTTATACAAACATCTGGTCTTTTCAATCTCATTTAAATAAATTCAGTACACATACATGTTTACATAGGTACTTTATGGCATAACTGTTGTCGATTCAATGTTATTGCTAATATTTAAGTATGTATGTATTAATCCTTGTCTAAGTTCGTCGTTTTGAAGCTTTCTCCAATCTTTCCTCTTACAACCAACCATTCAGGAGCTCCTAAGCCATCACAACTCCATCATACCAGCAAACGTCACTCATAAATCAGAAACAACAGGATGTATGTTGTAGTTTAAAAAATGATGCCAGAAAAGTATAGTATAATGCATTCTGTCCAAAGCTAGTTAATCATTATCTTCTTTAGTTTACTCTTATTTATTTTTTTTAATATTACCAAGCTCATGCTAATTCCAATGATTTTGAGTCTGAATTTATGATTGACTTGCACATGAGAATGTGTGATATTAGAACAAAGATATAGTTAATTTTGTTAACTGGATCAAACTTCTTACCCTTCAATTCTTGCTCAACATTGCGCATTTGCTTAATGATTTATTTGTAGGTATTAACACATATGTTACCTTTATTCTTAGTTATGATAATATAGACCAGCGAGTAAATAAAATTTCCAACTTTTCCCGTGCAATGTTTGCCGGTAAAGAACTCAATTGTAAAGTAACAACTTTATTAGATCATAAAAATTTTTAATACTATTACCTGATAGAGAAATAATGTCTACATCCTTTATACAATTGCAGCATCTAATGTTGAGGGTTTCCAGTTTCTTTAAACCTGGTTTTCAATAAAAGAATAACAATAAAGATAAAAAAGAAATAACAAATAAAAATATTATAAAAACATGAAACACAAAAATGCTTACAAAGAAAATAAAACTGACAATTTGTCAGCAATAAAGGAAGGGGAAGTCACGGTAATAGAAAAGAAGGGTAATGAAACTTCATGGTTATTTGTACGAAAAATAATATCTTTATTCTTATCTTCAACTTTATATGAAATGAAATCCATTGTGTACTATGTACCCTATAGTAATGGGCAAAAAATGTGACGTGATTAGGGATTTGGCTTCTTCTAAAACTTGGAAAATGCTTGTAATCCCCTAAAAAGGGCTCAAATGAGATAAATAAAGATTGCATTTTCCATTCCAAGAGAATGAAAATGTTGCAAATCAAACTCTCAATACATGATGTCCTCCACTTCTCCTTCTTTGATCGTTAGAGTAATTCCAATGGTCAACCTGACATTTTCTATAACCAATAGCATTAAGATGTGTTCAAGACTAGATTAAGAAGTCATGAGGGAGTGATAAGCCATAAAAATTATAGCATGAAATATAAAAAGACTTTAGTAAGATGCCATCATATCACAAGTAAACTTGTTTGTGTAAAGCAAGCGAGTCAAAAAAAACACAAAGCAAGATATGAATTGCTAAATAAAACTGGAGAGTTTTGAGCGAGGGATATTAAAATATGACTAGTGCTTAACTTCTTAAAGCCAGATTAAAAGAAAACTTTAAGAATAAATTTTAATATATTCAAAACATAGAAGAAACTATTACTGGACACTTTTATGTACATAGAATATCTATTGGGAAGGGCTATAGAATTCATAGTGATTATTGAATAGCAGATTAAATGTTGATTACACGATAGATTAAGACCTTGCAATTATAAACACATAATTTAGTGGAAATGTACGATGGGATGTTTGATTGAGCTTCATTTTCATAAAGGAGGTTGGGCGGTTGGGAAGTTGCCATGCAAAAGCGGCTTTATAAAACAACTTCTTTAAGAAGTAATTATCTAGAAAAGTATTTCAACTTTTCATCAAGATGAGTGTACCTGCTAAATTACAGCTTTCTACCAGTGCAAAACAAGTAAAAAGCCCAAACAATTAAGCCAATTGTTAGTTTCAATAATGAAGGATATAGATCATTGATAATTTCATTTTTCTGGACTCGAATAAAGAATATCCATTATGAAAATTACAGGATAATTGACGAAGTGCACTTAAAAACAACTATCTAGAAAGATCTACGGTCAAGGTTGTTTTAAGAAATGGTACATGATATAGCAATAACCACCCACTACACTCATTCATGACATCAATCATGTATATCTTCCTTTCATCAGTTTGTTGATATGAGCAAGCTATGGATATTGAAATCAGATCTTTCCTTTGTAGACATACCTAGATCTGGTTACATTCATTCCCAGCGTTTCATGCCGCCGTGTCTTCAGTTTTAAGTTCCTTCCTTATGAGTTTATTAACTATGCTCAATCGATAGCAAAATTATACATAGGTTCATGGCACTGACTACTCTCAACTCCCACTCCTCATCCCCATCATGCAACTTCATTTTGTTTGCATACTACTTCTTATTTTCATTACTTGAGAATGGCCCCGGTTTTAAATGGATATCAGCAATACAATTCTCTATGCAGATCTCTCCGAAACTATTTATATGAAGAAACCTCAAAGTTATACTGCTCAGGAGTAAAAAAATCTGAAGTATAACAGATCATTCTATCCACCACTTGTTGAAACAAATTTCAACATTCTATAAGGTTTTCCCTGATACTGGCATTCGAAGTAGCATGGTTGATCATTGTATCTGCTACTCTTCCTCTAAGCAGTGATTCTCACTATGTATGTTGATAATGTTCTTTTCACTAGAAATGATGCTTCTACAATAATGAAATAAAATAATCTTCATGAAACAGAATCCAATATACTTTTTTGGCATTAAACTTATATACAAAAAAAAAATCTCAAGGAAAGAAATATGCTAACGAATTTATCGAAGAAAATAGACTCCTTTAGTGCAATACTAATGACTCTCTCATAAAACACGACAATCAACCAAAAATGATGAAAACACTGAAGATACTTCTTGTTATAAACATCTACCTAATAAGCTTATCTATTTGAACATTATTCAACCTGCTATATCATTTGTTATTAGCATGATCGATTGGCAAGTGCAAAAACCTAAACAAGAAACATCTGGATGTTCTCCCAAGAACTTTAATATGTATCAAGAATTGTGGAGAAAAAACAAACCCTATCAAAAAAAAATATCATTAAAATGTCTGAATCATTCTATGATGTTGACTATGGAGAATCTACTAAAAAGAGGAAGTCTACATCAAGTTCATATCTTTTGTGGGTGGATATCTTGTATCATGAAGAACTAAAAACCAAAATTTTATGACTAAATCTAGAATCAAACCAGAATACAGTGCCATGGCAAATTATGTTCAAGAAATGAAGTGCTTTAATAAAAGAATTCAAAATCCATATAGCACAATTAATGACCCTTAAACAAAAATATACATTGCCAGAAATCTTACTTTCACAAAAGAACCAAACATATTGAAGCAAAAGGACACTTCGTCAAAACTGCGATCTTGTCAAAAAAGTTTCACTCTTTGATATCTTTATCTAGGCTTTAGCATATCATTTTTCAAATCTTTGTAACAACCTAAAACAGTAAAATTTGTCATATATGCTTCAGCTTAAAAGCAAGTGTTAACAAAGTTCAAGATTAAAAGATTAATTAGTTGAATAAATCATCACGATTGAGAAAAATCTAACGCTTATAGAACATATATACACGTGTGTTATGTTAACAATACCTAAACAAAAGACTTCCCTCACTATCAATGGAAATGCTTTATAATGACCTTTTAGAAACTTAGATTAAAAAGCAAGAAATGAGAACAAAATTACAGCAGTGTAAATTTCAGCGTGCATTTATACATATATTATGCAGATTAGACGAGCTAGCAAAGCGCTACATACATAAGAAATAATAATAATCAATAACATTCAAAAAACCATGAACTCACCCTCAATATGGACAAGGCCGCCATGTATCTTCGAGCATCTCTCTAGATCCAAATTAACCAAGTTAACTAAGTATCTAAAAGCTTTCATTCCTTCTGCAGTTATTGCATTGCTCTTCTTAAAGCTTAGTGATGTCAGGTTTGAAAGACCTGTAAATAAATGAATATCAATGGGGAATGCATAATGACATGCTGATGCCATAATTAACCTGGTTTTGTCTGGCTATAACATTGCAAAACAAGCAATAAATATCATTAGAAAACTTCAAAAAAAATAATTATTTGTTTGCACAAATACAAACACAAGACAAAAAGTTTTAAGAATAAAAATCTGATATAAAATCAATATTTCACTTATATGACCATCGCGAGACTTTTGTGTCTACACATACTAAAGCCCATAGTCACACGTAGGTTTGCTTTCAAAATTACTCATGACAGTCATTTCATGCTAGCCCGTACTCTTTCTTTGTATTAAGTATTGTGTATTTGTTCCTTAGACATCCAAACTTACTAGGACGAACTTAAAACGAATACTGCACAACTTTAAACTAGTAGATATTCAATTTGTACATGCACATAAGAGAATCTTCGAAAAACATTTAAATTAGAACCTTAATCTAAAACAATTGGCTCAAAGCCAAATACAAGCTAAATATAAACCAATTAACCTAATTTCTCTTACAAATGCTCAATGGTCTTAAGTATGAATTCACCATGAAGCTGAATTTTTTATGCTATATAAAAGGGTCCTTTATACACAAAAAACAGTGGTACCAAAAAACAGGATTTAAAGAACAGAGATTTGTATCGTCATATTTGGATTTGTCTTCATCTTTGTTGTTTCATTTCCTTCAACAAATGAGGGTATCAGTAATTATGGAATGCCAAATGAGTGAGAATTTTCCTTCGGCTAAGCTAATGTGCTGGAAATAAGTTAGTTTTGGTTGCGAAAGCTTCCTTCTCCTAAACTTGTTCCCATATTCTATGTCCATGCTAAGAAAAACAGCTTTTCTTCTTTCTTCATTCCTCTCTTCGTATTCTACTTAATTATTGACTGAAATAGTAATTTGATGCAACCATTCTGTCGCATGCTCAAAAGTGAAACTTGTCCATGAACTTAAACAACTGTCACTTGTATGACATGAAATTCTTTTGATCACTTTCTCAAACGGGAACATTTATTGATTCAGAGTTATGGGTCCTCTATATTCTATGAATCACTGTCACTAGCTTGCTGCCTTGCGAATTTCATGCCCTCATTTTTGCATCAGGTTGTTTGCCACATTATTACAAAAATTACCAAACATTACTTAACATCGGTTTATCTTGTATTGCAAACCATAATAAAACATTCTCGTTACAAACCACTTAAGCATTGCACATTTCTTTTATTTTGCATTCCACTTCATATCATAACTTTTAATTTGCATTCCTAGATCATGATTTAACATGCATAAGAAGTTAGACAATTATATGATGAGTTTTAGAATATATTTAAAAAATGTAAAAAAGAAAAAGTTCAAATTTACCACACAAATTTTCCAGGCCACGGTCTGAGATTTGATCACAATAATCGAATGACAAAGACTGTACATTAGGGCAATCTTTGAGACGAACCAATCCAGAATCTGTTATATCGGAATAAGAAATATCAAGCGACAGTAAGGATTGCCCTTGGGAAGCAATAACGTGCATCCAACTGTCTTTTACTCCAGGATATTCTCCCAAAAGCATATCCTGATAGTCAAATTGAGTGTATCAACATCCCATGAACTATTCATAACACAATAGAGCTTAATAACATAATTAAAAACAAGATAAAAATGAGCATTCGTGCATAATCCTACCAGGATCACTCAAATTATACTGTTTTATCAGCTCCCCAAATAGAAAAAAGCAATTCCATAGAATTTTAAAACCATTAATTGCACAGGAAGCAAAAGGACAAAGTAGACATTCTAATAGAAGAATCTTATTAGTGTAGTTATAACTACTAAAAATATGCATCTAAATGTCATGTTCCGCTTGAATCTTTACTCACAAGTCTTTCCTGATAAAGGTTCCAAACTAACAAACCATTGGTTTCGTATTCATTCTAACGAAAGCATGCAAATTGATAAATCATTGCACATCTTTAAAACTCTACTGCCATGTTATCATCCGAATCCTTCAACCTGCTTAAATTAAAAGATGCGTGTTTCCAATATAGTTGGCTAATGAATTGGCATTATCAATTTTGTGTCAATAAATGAAAATATGAATCTATATTATTTATAAGAAAATATAGATAATATGATATTTGCACATAATTTTCTAGAGAATAAAATATGGATATTTAGGATTCAGCACTTGAAAAAAATGAGTATTAGAAGAACTAGAACAGCTTGTGTACATGCTAAAATAATATTCATCATATACAAGTGTATATTCTTCAAACGGATGGGCATCTCTAGGCACTAAAGGACACATCTCCTTGCTAACGGCAATTCTATAATTAGAATATCCCGCCCAGAGGATTATGTAGAACTGTTTCCGATTGATAACATTGGAATTTTGCCCATTCATGCATGCTATTTTTAACATCCCAGGAGCTAGGATATTATCATGAAAGGTACAAAGTTATCTCCTAAAATAATACTTTTGCAAGTACATTACCTGAATAGCACAATCACGAAAAGCCTCGAGTGATACATCAGTCAGGCAATAAGATTCCACCAAATCATTGAAGATCTGCTGGCTTATGTCCCTCGGTAGCATAGAGAAGCTTTTGTATTTTGCAATGTCCTGTCAAGAAAGATTGGGGAAATGTTGAACAACAGATGCAAGCAAGAATCTAAAAGAGAAGACAATGAATCAAATAATTTACTAGTTACGAACCTCTCTAATCTTGGCAACACATAGTTCCATGAGAGTAGGACATGTAGCCTGTCCCTTTTGGATAAGGTTTGAGCTGCAGCGCGGAAGAGAAAATAGCAACCATTTGGAACTCCCGGCCTTGGATAGTCTCCCAGCCGCTCTCCTTGAACCCTCGTCTTCAACCAAGTGGCCTCTTTTTCTTGAGCAAGCTCCCCCCATTTTGATCAATATAAGTTTAATTCAACGTAGCAAGGTAATTATTTGTGATTCCCCAGTTCTTAGAGAGCTAAGTGGTCATAAATTCCACGGTAAAAAAGCTTATTCAGCCTGCATTAAGAAATCTAATATTTAATAATAAAAAATCATAATTATTTAGATATGTGGCCTGCAAAATAACAAAAGCATCTAAATAAAATTCTTCAAAAATTATAATAGCATCTGGTAACACTTTCACCGCACATATTGCACTGCCTAAATAACTGAATCACCGCTGCAAAATTGGGCATCTATGGGAACATTATAACATCGCCTGAAAGAAAAAGATTTGCAAAATCTACATCACGCGTCTTTCACCAAAATAAAGCAGTCATAATAAAGCCGGAGATAAAACATATTTAGAGTTAAAAGTAATCCGATATCTTATTATAATATTATCTGACCCACGCCTGCGGGTTATTCGGTCAAAACAATAATAACGGCCTTTTACTAATTGGAGAAAATCCAAAGTAAAACTGCAAAGCTATTACAATGATTTATTCTGACCACGACGATATAAGCATTTTCCCTAGAAAAATAATCCATCTGCACAGTGAAGTAGCAGACCCTGCCCAAAAGAACAAAGGCGAAATTCTACCTCGGAAATCAACACCCGCCAACTGCTAACTTCAAACGATCGGGATATTTACGAGCACAAACCGCCAATATGATCGAAAGAAACAATCGCACCAACAACAAAATCTCTCATCATCAGTCAACATAAAAGGGGAACAAAAAACGAAGGATATGGGATGAAAAGAGAAGAACCGTTGAGCAATCCAAAACAAGCGGAAGCTACAAAGAGCTCCACAGAACCCAGTAGAAAACCCTTGGTGATCAATCAGCAGGAGATCAAAAGCTCAATGGAAACAGAGAGGGTCAATCCCGCCTCTTCTACTGCTCTAGGGTTAAGCAAAATTCAGAAAGGAAAAAAACCCAGAATGGGAAGGAAGGCCGAAGCGGCAAGAAATCACCAAGGAACGAGGTGAAGCGGAGGCTGGGCTGATATCCCGGACGAAAACCGAAGCAACGGATGTTCGCCACGTGTGCAAATTTACCGGCTTCGGTAGGACCGCATAAGAAGCCACGAGCAGCCAATTAACCGGTTGGTCCGGTTCCGAAAGTTATTCCGTGCCAATACGTTGCATACGATACAATATCCGGGAGGAGCTCGCAAATTATTAATTTAAGATAAATTATAATGAATCATTATATAATAAGTGATAAAAATTTACTTAATATGAAATATAATTTTTTTTAATATTTTAATATCTAAAATATAAAATATTTCAATTTAATATATTTTGACTATATTTTATATTAATAAGCTCACCCGCTACTTATGAAGACGTCTTGACTCACACTCTTAAAATGAAATAGAAATTTAGGAGGTGTTTGATTTACCTTAAATGAGATTTATCAAATTTGATAAATCCGACGACAGAGATGGATTTTGAGCTATGTCGGAATAAGTCATTTGTACAATTACTTTATTGAATTCTGATTTACATCGTAAAAAAAATATGATAAGACAAAAAACATGAATTTTTTTACCCTGTGTAACCTTAAATTTAATTTTAATATTTTTTATTTTATGTTTGTAAGAATTTAAGCTCCATTTGAGGAGAAAATTTTGAATACGTAAGACGTGCGCAGCGTTGTGTGCGTCAATTAGATTACAGGGATGGTATTGGGATTTATATCTGTGTTATAACCCCTGTAACTTTCATATAACTTACATGTAACCTATAAATATATGAAAATAGAATCACGAAACTTACTAGTTACAGGTAGGTTACAGAAGGTATAATGCAAATATAACTCTCGATATCCTCCCTGTAATCCATCTGACGTATACAGCGCTGCGTACGTTTTACGTAAGCAAATTTTTCTCCCATTTGAGATGGTAGTGTGACACGCATCATAATTTTATCTATTTTGATAAATTATTTCTTACAATTTTTAAAAAACTGCCCCTAAAATCTATATTTAACTGTTAACGCTCTCTTCAATTAGTGTTATTTTTCCACAAACGGCCATCGCTAACGAGAGTTGAGACTCCGTAGGACCCCTGCTGCCCACGTGATAAATTGGCTCGATGGTAAGAAAGATGTCCACGTGGCGGTTGTTAATTGAGGTTGAATCATTAGCCAAGGACTGATTGGATTGGGCCAAGGGATGAGCGAAGGGTCTTATCCAAAACAATTATTGAGATAAACGTAGTCAAATTTGCGAATTTAACTTAATCGATTGTGGCAATAACATACTTGCGACTTTAAATATATGTATTTACATATCTAACACTTAAATTTTATTTTTCATATTTATAGCACTTAAGTAAAACATAAAAATATTGCTATTTTAATTTAAAAAAAGTCAAATTTGCCTCGTGTGCATATGCGATAAGATATCTTTGCTTATATGTAAATACATAAGTATGGAGTTATATGTTTGTAAGACTTCATAATTGATGTGTCATCAATAAATTCTTTTATTTGGCACGGATTTCAATGTAATATTTTGAACAATAAACATTCAAAACTCAGCTATGAGTCATCCAGAGCTTCAATTTCATCAAACTTACAGCAAAATGATCGGCTCGACGAGGCGGACCCAATGGTACCAAAATAAGTTCAATCCAATCCAAATTAAGTTTTGATAAAGTCATTAAACCGCTTTTGAAACCTTTTCAAGACATATTTGGAAGATTAAATGGATGTTGAATTTGATAGGCTCATGGTCGAATCAAGCATCTCGACATGACGAATCCAGCGAGCCCAATATCGCACAATTCTGACATCGTTAAGGCCCTCAAATGTCCATCAAATGTAGTTCGATCGAGGTAACCTCTCTGGCCTGTCTGATCAGAACGGTTCATATTATTGCATTAATTACATACATAATTTTATAAATAGAGTCACATCTCTCTCACAAGGGGAGTGAGGTAGGGGCGATAATGAGAGCTTGTGGCTTGAGGAAAAGCTTGAAATTTTGAGAAAAAAATAAAGTTCAACACCACTCCTGCCGCTGTATATCATCTTATGTCGTCTGTTGTTGATCGTCATCGATTGTCGCCCGTTCTTTGTAATAAATACATCCGCACGTTGACATTGTACCTCATGAGACTTTGCAATCACTTCCTGCCCAGTGAGACAATATGTTGTATTTGTAATCTTCAGTTTATAGTGGATCTCTTCAACAATGCCACACCCCATGGTTTTTTTTTTCCTCTATGAAATTTTCATGTAAAATTTTAGATATCTCAATTGGTTGTTTTCTTTCATCTGAGTGCATATTGAATTCTCGTGTAACTCTAATGTGATAATTTATTAATCTACCACCACGAATCTTCTACCACGTATCAATAATAAGTTTGGCTTACAATTAAAAGTTTTATGTCTTTATTTTTATGCAAAGCATGTCGTATTCTAGTTTAATTTCACTAATGATAGAAATGTTTTCATTTTGAATTAGTTTTAAATATAAATGCAAGTATGTATAAACATTTTATATTTTATTTTGATCCTTCTTTTGAGTTATATTTCAAGCTTGATTCATCTAGATTTAATTCATGCAGTGGCTCGTAAATTGCAGAATCATTTTGCATATTGTCCGGCTGGATCAGCGAGCTTAAAAATATGACAATTCTACAAATAAAATTATTGAATTTTCTTGAGGTAGCGTTTACTTTAATATGTCTAACAGAATTTGTATTTTATATCAATAAATAGATTTGTATATTTATATATGAGGGACAAGAAGATATTTGAAGAAAAGCTTATTTTCCATTGGTGAGTTTATACAATATTTATAGATGCATATTTATATGAGAAATGAAGGTGTAATAACACCTTAAACAAAGCATGACATGAAAAAGAATGACCTAATAGCACCTGAAATGAATGACAATTTAAGATGATGAATATATATATATAT